TTTCTCGTGTTTCCAAAAGTTCGTCACTCAAAAAAAAAGTCGAAGCAAATGTTCGTGTTGCTTAAGGCTCTGGTAGGTCCTGATTAGCCTAATCTTTGAAACAGCTTTGACATGTCGTCCCTTTTTGTAAAGGGATTGCGGTTGTCCACACTCCATTGTGCCCGTCTTGAGCTTAGGCACAGCATTGGCGCCCAACTTCAGAGCTTCGTCCTTGATCTCTGAAAAGAAACAGCGAGTCGCTGTCTCATTCTCATGATAGATCCGATTGATGGTTTCAGATAGTTTTGGACAAGTTTTGGACAAGTTCTGGACAAGTTTTGGACAAGTTTTGGCCATTTGCATGTTTCTGTCAGAGGTGCAAAAGGTTGGTATTCGCTCTTCTCCTGGTGCTTGCAAGATTTGCAAGTGGAACCTGAAAACGGACCGTACTGTAACGGTCCTCCAAGCGAGACATGGCTTCTTCTCTGGCATCCTGCAAGGCTCAGCCACGACTGCCACGTTCACTTGTGTTCAATCCACATTGGAATCCACATTGTCACTGAAGTCTCTCAGAAACTGTAACTGTGAATTGAGATGGCAAGACATTTACATCATTTACATGTCCAATGACACCAATGGCGTTCAAATTGATTGTACAATGTCAAAGGCATGGATTAAGTCCTAGAAAATTCTGATTGAGTGTTGCCTGATGTACTTGCTGAATGAGGCTTGCACTTGCATCAACTGAGTGTAGTGGGGAAGTTCTCCGCCGAATACCTTGGGAACACCATGTGCTGACATGTTTACAGGATTCAACAACAGGCAGGCTCTGATTGTCACTTTCAACGTTTTTAGCAAATTCGTTTTGCTTCTGAGTTTAGGTAGACCCTAGCTAAATCCCTAGCCACATCTGACCAATCAGTACCGTGCTCCAAATGCTGTAGAATGTTTGTGGAAGAGTTCACCATAGTTTTGCCATGCCTTTGCCCTCTGAGCTTCGCTTCAGGTGTTCTTGGATTGTCTTGGTACGTCTTGGCATCTTGCTGCTCGGATCGCGCTGGTGATGTCTTTGGTAACATCTTTGGCCCGCACCTGACATCGCTATTTGCGAAGGCTTAGACGTATCATGACGTATCATGACGTATCATGCCGTATCATGATGTATGTATCATGATGTATGTATCATGATCGTGGATGACAGTTGCTGAAGGACTAGCCAACAGCCTCACTGTGGATGGTAGACGGACAGGACCCCATCAAACAAAGAACAAAAATCAGCTCAAATGATTATGTGGCATCGACTCCGCCAGGTTCTTGTAGACATGCAAACCGAATCAAACAAATGGGTGCTTGTCAAATGTAACATTCCTTCTCCTGCGTCCTTCAATGCAACAGATTAGGGCCCCAACCGTTGAGCCCATAACCAGACCTTTGTACCTGTCACAAAACCGGAGAGCACTCTTCATCTCACTATCGAGCTCACTTTGTTGTGTTGAGCTCTTCATCTTGTCTTGACAAATCCCAAAACTCCACCTGCAAACATGCGTGGTGAGCACTTCGCGTTTCATGTTTATTTGCCAGGGATATAAAGGCCTTGTTGCCTCCAGCTTTATATATGGCCGACTCGATTTTTTGCACTCGGCTGATGGCGACTGCAATTGGAAACCATGGCAAAACCATCTGCAAGACAACATCAAATCACCAAACGCGCAGCGTCAGGCAATGTCTGGGCACTCTTTGATGGTACAGCCAACAATTTGCTCAGAGGTCGCCAGCCTGCAGAGTTTGTGTGCTTGGCTGTGATTTCTGTTGGAAATCTCTAACTGGTCTCACATCGAATTCTAACAGGTCTCTGAGGGATTAGCCGAACGCGACCTGGCATCTATTTTGGCGCTGATCATGAACAAAGCAGACATTGCTAGACGCAAACAAAAACACCAAAACGGACTCGCACGAAACGAATCTGAAAGAAATAGTCAGAGATTTGTTGGGGAAACCTGGGTTGGCAGCAGCAGCTCTCCATTGACACAGCCTCCCGAGATCGGGGCTCAATGTTTGAAACGATTTGAAATGCGGTTAAAAATGGTTGGAACGCTTTGGAATCCAAATATGTTTGCTGACGTCAACTGCCGCATCGGTGGCTTTCCATGACTCGAAGCGAAGTATTTGCGATAGCAAAAACCATGAGAAACCAGCCTATTCCGCAGACAATCGCGGCAAATAGAGCGGCCTTGATTAATCCAGTTTTGCAACTGAACAGAAACCCAAGAGCCACTGCTGTTGGGAATTGGGTTGATCACATCTTGAGAAAAAAAACTCTGAGGCTTAAATGATGGGAATGTGGTGGGATGTTATGGGTGTGGATGTTTCACTTCAAATCTGTAGTGCAGCCAAGGCACGAGCATTCACAAGCATTGCTTCACAAGGTCCGCAGCGGTGATTATTTGAGTGAAACAATGAAGTCTGTTCAAATATTGTCCTTCAGGTGTACTTGGTGTATCTTGACTTTGCACATATTGATTGTCTTGTTTGTGTTCTGACTGAATTGCGTTCGGTTTTCATGTCTCGGCCATCTTCGCCTTTCTCTGCGCGTTTTCGTGAAAATTCATGTCTTTTAACTGTGGCACCTAAAGCTCAGCAAGCCATGCAAAGAATGCAAGGAGACCAATGGGGCACCATTTATCACTGACTTTCCTTCGTCACAGTCCGCAGCACAAACAGTCCCCGCATTGAAAAACACCATTTTGCATAGGATATATGTGTTTGTTCGTGCTTGTTTTCAAACGATGTTTGGGACACTTTGCTTCATTCTCCAAACACTGAGCAAGAGTTGTCCGCCTTGCCTAGCCTGTCAAACAGATCTCGCGTGCTTCTTTTCATTGTTTTGTTGGCATCATGTTTCTGAGATTTCAAGCAGCAGCTAGATAGAGCTGCGTGTGCTTTGAAGAAAGCGAGGTGCTTCACATCGCAAGTCAAACTTGTTTGAAGCTGTCATCTACGGGTCAACTTTGCGCACACTACCGTTGCGGTAGTCTACACATTCAACATCCACTCACGTCAGTGTCGCAGAAGAAATGGTCTTCGGACGGCAAAGGCAGAGAAACTGCATTGCCTTTTCGTGATGCGCTATGACGCATCTGAGAGGGCGAGGCTTCTTGCAGGTCCTCCACATGTCTGTCACATGTCAAAGCAATTCACAGCATGCGTCATGTGTTCAGTTGAATGTCAGCATGACTTGTCCACGTCTCCTTGTAAAAAACACCGAGGATTGCTTTGAAACACCAGGGAGAGGTCCGCGGTCCAGGGCTGATCCCAGCAGCCTCTGCAGCTTCAGCCAGGTCATCGACGAGGTGGAGATAGCAGCCAGCCTGCGACGCCGTCTTTACCCCAAGCAGAAGCAGGTAGTTTGACCAAAAGATGGTCCAAACTCCAGTTTACCCAGGTTCACTCAAACTTCTTTGTAAATTTCAATACTGGTTTCAATCCATAAATTCATTTAAAACTCAATGGAAGCTCCTAGACGCCTTCTCCTAAACATACATTGGAATTTGGAAGATCAATCAGAGGAGCAGTCACCCTCGGTCACCCTCACCTCATGCACCCAACGCTTTGGACACACTCCGGCTTTGATGTCGCTTCCCGCAAGCTCACGCTTACTGCCATTGGCCTGGATTCAGCAGGCCGGATGCAACCCCATCTGGTTAAGTCATGCTGTTGCTTTGCTAATTTCTTACTTTGAAAACACAATATCGAGCTGCGGAGCTCTATTTTACTTGAGCCAAAAGGTAACATCGGGCGCATGCTAAACCCCTGGAACTTTACACTGCACATAAGGGTTATATATGGTATGTACATGTCTTCACTCCTCCTCTCTTGAAGAGTGATTTTATGTACACTCGCAAAGAGCTAACCTCCGGCTCTCAGTCCATCTTCTTCACCTACAGTCGAAAGGTAGCGGAGTCTGGCCAGGGCTTTCACTTAAGTAGATTCAGCTGGCCTTTGCTCCGATCTGTCAGATACACATACCCTGACTTTGTCATAGTCTGATGCATCTGTGTACCAGGCACAGGTTTCGTCAGAACACCTGATCGATTCTGTTTACCCGGAACATGCACGACCTTAAGGTGGTTTTCGGCTACTCGTTCCTGCAGCCATAAGTAACGGGTTTGGATATGGGGTGCTTTGCCAAGTCCAACACGGTTGACTGTACCTTTTGCAGCATTCGAGTCTGACTCGATGGTGACAGCCGCATTGATACCATAGTCAGCCAATAGGGACTGAATTCCCAGCCCGGTACTTCCACCTTTAACCAGAGCATAGTACTCTGATTCACCTGTCGAAAGTGCAATGGTTGACTGCACATTCGAACTGTGCTTTAGGACATGCTGCCCATAGAAGGCAATCATTCCTGTGGTCGATTTTCTTGTCACTGTGTCTACTGCATGATCACTATCGACCTGTATGACAAGTCTCTCAGGTGTCCTTTGTGCTTTGAAAACCTGAGCGAAGTCTGGGTACCTGATCAAGTATCTGATCAGTCTCTTCAAATCTGTCAAGCTAGCCTCGGTCGGCTGAACCAGCCGTCTCGCGAGGTTCTTGACTGCATGGCCAATGTCTGGCCTGTCTTGCGACAGATATGCTGCCCGCATTACTGCGGATCTGAACTCTGACGCGGCTTCCTTTGGAAGCAAGGGGCTCCTGGTTTCAAGAGCCTGTTGGTCTGCAGATTTCTTTACATCTGGACTTTCTACGCCTTTGGCGTTTGTCATGCCAAAGCTCTGGATCAGCAGGTCCACATGCCTGCGATCAGGTTCAATCCATGCTGCTGGCAGTCCTTCATTTTCACCACACCGAATCAACCGGTTCAGGAAATGGATCTCTTTCTTGTCCTGAGGTTGATCCCCGATGATTCCGAGACATTTCAGCTCATAAGACTTGCGCAGCAAGTCTTGCAGCTCACTGAGATGTTTCTGATCACCTAGTGACCTAGTGCTAAGAAGTCATCTCCATGTACCATTACACGGACATCGTGCTGCGGGTGGTAAAATACCGACGCGTTGGATTTTCCATGCTTGTACCCACCTTCTATCAAAATCCCTGAGTAATGGGACTGCCATATGTTCAGTGCGTCTTGTGTTCCATACGTGGACTTCTGAAGGAGTCCACACATCTTAACTCCCTCAGCTCTTGGCTCTTCGCTGGGAAGCCCTATGAATATCCTGCGTTTTGGTGTTCCATAGAAGTGTGCGCGGGATATGTCCCACAAACCAAGTTTCAGCCTTTCACCATGGATCGACCTCTGTTTGTTCGCCCACAATAAGCACAGTAGCCTCATTGCTTCAAGAGGCGGTGTGCTTGAAAACGAAAGATTTGCAGGTAGCTGGTCTTCAGGCCGTTTCGCAGCCTTTATATCCTTGACAACTAGCCTGCTTCTGTAGTTCGGGTGACTTGGATCACCCTTATTTGTATCAAGCCATCTGGTCTTGATCGGGGGTTTCCCTGTTTCTTCAAAACACTGTTCAATCGGCACTGGCAAGTGTACTTCCTGTTTGTGAAGATACTGCATCTCTACCGATCTGGCCTTTTTAACTTCCTCTTTTGGAAGCACTCCCCCATTAACATCATCTACATACCGCTCTTCCCACTCTGGGTCTATGGTTGGCATTTCTGGAACTGGTCCTGCACTGTGCGCATCGGCGGCGTTTAGTTCACCTCTTTCTTCCAGTTCTCTTTTCAAACATTTGAGCACAGCTTTTACAAGCTGCGGCGGTTACTTTGCCGCTTGCTGGGCTATGCCACCAATCAAGTGGATGTGGCGGTGCCATGGTGCTCCACCTGTCTTGTTTGTGCACTCTGTTTCCAACAGTTCTGCCAATCCTGGATGGTTTGTCATCCACCCGGTTTCTTTACGCACAAAGCCTGTACCCTGCAGGCCTCGACGGTCTGTAGCTGTCATGCCCCACTTGCACATAGGGCCTCGCACCACATACACATCATCCCTTGAGGATATGCGTTCAACACTTTCATCTTTCCAGCTTGTTGCACCCCACGGCGCCTCGTGAAGAAAATATCTACCTTGCTGGATATGCTTTTCATACACATCACGTGACGTGTGGAGGTGATGCAATGCTTCGTTCATTCTTTTCTCTCTGATGTCTGGTGGAATCTTGCTCCAACTGATCGCTTGCAACTTTGAAAATAAATGGCACGGCGGACTGCCTGTGATCAACAGGGGCTCTTCGCGGTCTATCAGCTCATGAAGAAGTTCCACGTCCGCTGTCTTGTTGAGGTTCCAGTATTCACCATTTTCCTTTGTCTCACAAAGATCGACAGCGAATCCTGGCCTCAGCTTGTACTGCTGCGCCAGCGCTGTAAAACGTTTCGGTGAGTAAGCCTCTGCAATGTCTGTAGATTCAGAAGCAGAACAAGAGGAAGGGCTATGATGATCAAGCGTGGCGTGACTGGCGCAATCCTGGCTATGGTGAATCCTCAGCTTCATCGTCCAGAACATGGAGACCAAAGTGAGTGTTGTGAGATTGACATGAGTGATTCACCATGCTTGACTCCAAATCAATCAATGAACAGTTGGCATGAACCATTGACACATGGGTTCAAACCATAGGGGCCCCACGTGCAGATGCGCTGACGCGCAGAGCGATCCATGGAATGAAGCTTGGCGAGGAAAGGACTCCTGGTAGCGGCAGCTCCTGGTCGTTCCAGGGGGTGCCAAGCAAGGTGAACCGAGCTTTTAGAAGTGGAAGCGATGCCGACGCCAGATGAACCAGTGGGAAGAGCGACGTCCCCAAGTGCTATGGCAACTTCAACCCAGGTTGCTGCTGCTTCAGGTGCGGCTGAAGCGCCTAGCGGGGGTTTCAGAGACCGGGAGCCACCTCCACCTTACTTGGGGGCGCAATGTGAGACTTTGGGAATATGAGACTGACGTCCCCAAGAACAAGAGACCGAAGATGCGTTGCAGGTTTAGTGGCAAGCGCAACACTTTGGACGTGTCCATCGTCATTTTGCGTGGCAGGCGCAACACTTTAGACGTATCGTGCTGCGTGCTTTTTGCAAATCGCATTGGCAGGGCTGCGCCAAGTGGCGACTCCGTGGCATTTGTGGCATCTTGTGAGAGCTCTTGACGCAGCTCAGAAACTGCGGAGTCGACCTGGACAAGGTCTCGCATTGTCGAGCTCGCCAGGATGGCAAACTGCTGGACAAGACCCAAAACACCAAGTATGCGGCTCAACAGATCGCTGACATCAGCCACAGTTGGGTACCAACCCGTACAGCAGATCCAGACACCCAGCATGAGCTGACCCAACTCAGAAGCCAACTGGCCCAACTCGCCAAAGAGTTGGGGAAGATACAGGCGACACTTCCACATCACAACGGGTCCTTCAGCATCTAGCCCTGCAACCACACCAATTCAAAGAGCCCTCATGAACAACTCGAACAATCCATCACCTCCACGAACATCAGCCTTCGAACCATCCAGCTTGTTGGTCTGCCCTTCCAGTGTCA